GTCCGGCCTCCCGGCCACAGGCCCTAGCCCACCTCGGGGGGTTTGGGGGGCGGCCCGGCTGGCAGGGGACGCGCTGCTTCCCGCCGGGGCTGGGCGCATCCTCTAGGGCGCCGACCGCGGCGGGAGGGACCCGGCCAAGTGGAGGCTCTCCCGGCCCGGCACCCTGGGCCACTTCGGGGTGCCGGCCCCGGCCGGGCGTTATCAGAGCCGGAAACCGACGCGGAGATAACCGGCTGCTGGCCCGGTGGCCGCCTCCTCTGCAATATTTTCTATTTCTTTTTCCTGGAATAACCAGACTTGCGGCTGAGGTGTCCCCGACCCCAAGGGCACGCGGGCCCCGCCCTCTACGGTGGGGACCCCTCGCCCTCCCGCGGGCTTCCCCAGTCCCCACGACATTCTGTAGGCCTCCCCATTCACGCAGACGAACCCGCAGCCGACTCTCTTGAAGAAAAGGGGTTCTGGGGGTTTGGGTTGGGTGTGGGGGCTGGAGATGGTCCTCACCACTGTGCGCTGAGTGGCGGGCGTTGGGTGGGTCGGCCCTAGAATCTCCCGAGTTTGATGAGCCTTCATGTAACGCACAGCTGCACAAACTCCTGCCGACACAAACCACAGATTGTGACACAGTTTTACTTTCCCATCTAATCATTAACATTATTGTCATTTGCATGTTACAGATTAGTCGACTGAGATTTAGAGTAACCAGTACAGGGCATTGGAGGTGGGAGGACCTATAGTAAGAGCCAGAACTTATTAAGCATGTGTGCATTCACCATTCCTTGGACTTTACAAGACTTCTATCTTTGAATCCACAAGGCAACCCTCTAAGTGCTACTCTGTCCCTGTTTCACAAGTGGGGAAACTGAGGCACATGGAGGTTGTTGCTTGCACAAAGTCACCAGCTAGTCAGTGGTGGTGCTAGGGCCCAAACCCAGGCGATCTAGCACTGGACCCTTCCACCGCTCTGCCCAGAGGCCAGCTTGGGAGACTACAGATCTCAGAAACCTAGAAGGACTAGATAGGGCATGTACTTCTAGCTGCCTGTTGAGCAAGAAATAACCGGTTGTTAGTCCTTCAGGTAGGTGGGTGTGTTTGGCGTGGCAGTGACCTTTTCAATTGTTTTTCAACCCTCCAATCCGCTTCCAACCGCCATTCTTACACAACATCTGTACAGATGCTCCTGGCACTCAGGGGCCAGCCGTTTTCCACACTCTCACTCATGGCACCCTCTACCTGGGGGAAGCAGGCCACAGTGGGGAAACCTAGTTCACAGTCATGCCCCCAGGCGAGCAAACGAGTTGGAGCTTGCAGTGGTGAGCTGGGAGAGGCAGGAGGTGCTAACGTTCTGGGAGCCACAGAGGTTCAGAACCCCAACTGGAGAACTGGCCCTACTGAGTCATTCATGACCCAGTTCGCAGGAGAACAGGGGAACAGAGAGCGGGCTGAGTCTGGGCCAGGGGAGGGAGTGGATAGGGCAGGAGCAACCCTAGCTAGAATGGAGCTGTGGGTTGTGGGCTCAGCTGGGGGTGGACAGGTGGGAAGGGGAGGGCGAGTCAGGGTAGGAGGAATCTCATTGAATGAGAGATGCTGTACTTGGTATTCAGAAACCTACTGTTTACACCATTTTCTTTTTTTAAAGATTTTATTTATTTATTCATGAGAGACAGAGAGAGAGAGAAGCAGAGGGAGAAGCAGGCTCCCAAGGAGCAGGGAGCCCGATGTGGGACTCTATCCCAGGACCCTGGGATCATGACCTGAGCCAAAGGCAGACCCTTAACCGTCTGAGCTACCCAGGCGCCCTACACCATTTTCTTTTCAGCTCTATCCGCATTGAGAAGCAGAGATCTTGCTCATTCCTCTTGACTGCTATACCTACGTCATCATATAAATGTTCTAGTTTGTACTTAACGAGCCCTGTCCTGAGGGACATTTAAACTTTCAGTGTTTAGCCCCCACACAGGTGAGAGCAGCCGCCTACTGCAGGATAACAAGTATAGTGCTAGTGATAGGTGCATCATCTGGATGACATGGAAGGCTGGGGCCACCTCCAGGCTGACAGGTAGCCCCAGGACACACACTTCCTTTCCACAGGGATAGTGCTCAAAAAAAATGCTTGGAAGATTAAATGAAGTGATTGAGGGAGGGGTAAGGACTTTCAAACAGAAAGTCATCCAGATTTCTTCATTTCCGATCTCCAAGGGAGATCTGATATACTCCGTGCTGGTCTGGAAGAGGGCTGCAGTCAGGAGACCCTCCTTTCTCCATTTTCACCAGGACCTGAGGATACCTATATATTTCATTCCCTGTAAGACTTTTTCCTTTAACATTTATTTATTTATCTAAGTATAATTGGTATACGATGTTACAGTATCTTAAGGTGTACACCATATTGATCTGATAATTCTATATATTACTCAGTGCTCATCATAGTAAGTGTAGTCATCATCTGTCACCAACAACATTATTAAAAAATTATTAACTGAGGGCGTCTGGGTAGCTCTGTCATTTAAGTGTCCAACTCTTGATTTCCACTCAGGTCATGATCTCAGGGTCATGAGATTGAGCCCTATGTGAGGCTTCATGCTCAGTGAGTCTGCTTGAGATTCTCTCCCTCTTCCTCTGCCCCTCCCCACCCCTGCTCACACACGTGCTCTAAATAAATACATAAATAAATAAGTAAAATCTTTAAAAAAATAAAAAACGGTTGACTGTATTTCCTATGCTGTACTTTTCATCTCCATGATGTATTTATTTTATAACTGAAAGTTTGTACCCCTGCATCCAGTTTACCCATCCTCCCAACCCACCTCCCCTCTGGCAACCACCAGTTTTCTGTATGTGAGAGTCTGTTTCTGTTTGTTTGTTCATTTGTTTCGTTTTTCAGATTCCACGTTTAAGTGAAATAATACGGTATTCGTGTTATCCATGTCTGACTTATTTCACTTAGCATAATTCCCTCTAGGCCCACCCATGTTGTCAGAAATGGCAAGATCTCATTCTTTTTTATGGCTGAGTAATATTCCAGTGTGTGTGTGTATGTATCTCCTTTATCCATTTTTCAGTCAATGGATACTTGGGTAGCTTCCAAATCTTTGCTGTTGTAAATAATGCTTCAATAAACATAGGGGTACATATATCTTTTCAAATTAGTGTCTTTGTTTTCTTTGGGTAAATATCCAGCAGTGGAATTACTGGATCACATGGTATTTCTATTTTTAATTTTTTAAGGACCCTCCATACTGTTTTCCACAGCGGCTGCACCAATTTACATTCCCACCAACAGTGTCTGAGGTTCCCTCTTCTTCATATTCTCACCAACACTTGTTATTTCTTGTCTTTCTGATACTAGTTATTCTGACCTGTGCAAAGTGATAGCTCATTGTGGTTTTGATTTGCATTTCTCTAATGATTAGTGATGTTGAGCGTCTTTTCATGTGTCTGTTGGCCATCTGTATGTCTTTGGAAAAATGGCTATTCAGGTCTTCTGCCCATTTTAAATCAGGTTGTTTGGTGTTTTGTGTTTTTTTTAGTGTTGAATTGTATAAGTTCTTTATATATTTTGGATATTAACCCCTTATCGGATATATCATTTGCAAATATCTTCAATAGGTTGCCTTTTTGTTTTGATGGTTTCCTTTGCTGTGCAAAAGCTTTTTATTTTTGTGTAGTCCTGATTCTTTATTTTGGCTTTTGTTTCTCTTGTCTGGGGTGACATATCTAGAAAAATGTTGCTAAGGCTAATGTCAAAAAGAGATTTGTGCCTCTGTTTTCTTTTCTTTTAAGATTTTATTTATTCATTTGTCAGAGAGAGAGAGAGAGCACAAGCAGGGGGAGTGGCAGGCAGAGGGAAAGCAAGGATCCTGACATGGGACTCGATCCCAGGACTCTGGGATCATGACCTGAGCGGAAGGCAGACGCTTAATCTACTAAGCCACCCAGGTGTCCCCTGCCTCTGTTTTCTTTAGTTTTATGGTTTCAGTTTTCACAGTTAGGTCTTTAATTCATTTCAGTTAATTTTTGTGTATGATGTAAGCAGGTGGTCCAGTTTTATTCTTTTGCATGTAGCTGTCCAGTTTTCCCAACACCATTTATTGAAGAGGCTGTCTTTTTCCCATTGTATATTCTTGCTTCATTTGTTGTAAGTTAATTGACCGTATACTCATAGGTTTGTTTCTGGTCTTTGTATTCTGTTCTATTGATCTCCGTGTCTGTTTCTGTGCCACTACCATACTCTTTTGATTATTATCGTTTTGTAGGATATCTTGAAATCTGGGATTTTGATACCTTCAGTTTTGTTCTTCTTTCTCGAGATTGAGTGGCTATTGGGACCTTTGTGGTTCCATACAAATTTTAGGATTAATTGTTCTAATTCTGTGAAAAATGCTATTGGCATTTGTTTTAAAAGATTTTAGTTATTTATTTGACAGAGAGAGACACAGCGAGAGAGGGAACACAAGCAGGGGGAGTGGGAGAGGGAGAAGCAGGCTCCCCGCTGAGCAGGGAGCTCGATGTGGGCCTCTATCTCAGGACCCTGGGATCATGACCTGAGCCGAAGGCAGATGCTTGACAATTGAGCCACCCAGGTGCCCCTATTGGCATTTTGATAGGGATTGCACTGAATCTGTAGATTGCTTTGGGTAATATGGACATTTTAATGCTACTAATTCTTCCAATCTATGGTATATCTTTCCATTTGTTTGTGTTGTCCTCAATTTCTATCATCAATGCAGTTTTTCATCAGTGTTCTTTCATCAGTATAGTTTTCAGAGTATAGGTCTTTCACCTCCTTTGTTAAGTTTATTCATAGG